AGCCAAGCTGGAATAACCAAAGCCAAAGGAATGAATAAGGAGAAATGGAAAATTTCTACTCCTTATTTTTCCGAACAAGAGCATATCAGGTGCTTACGATAAGACTGGGCAATTCAGTGACATTGCACTGCTTTGGGGGAGGCATGGGATGCTCCCAGTCAGTCCGAGGACCCAATCCCACCCTGCTCAGATCCTTGAAACCAAGGTAACACATCTACTTTTGTTCCTCTCGGTTTGAAGACAACATCCTGGAAGTGGTGAAGGGAAACAGGACCCACCTGCCCTTGGCATTAATGGGGTTTCCAGGACTGGGGCAGGATTGAATCGGCTCCCACAGAGATGCCTAACAGCTGGAATAGCATCTTGCCCCATCTAGGTTCCCACAGAGATCCTAACCTTGAAGGACTCATACTAATGGCCAATAGAAGTGGGCTAAACACACATTTATTTCCTGTTGCTTTTATTCTTTTGTTCTCCCCGTATGACAATAGCCTGCTTGTCCCCATGACAGACCCACCATTGATTTTTGCAAGTGTCAGAGACACCCCAAAACAATAATGAACGCGTCTCTCGCCAGGCACATGAACAATGTCACGCATTAACCAGCAGCAGAACAAAACCCACAAACAATGGACTGGAAGCTTGCACGTACTAGGATGCCACCTCAGGACCGGTATCATGGTGGTGCTTTGTGCATGCAGGTAGCTTTTAGCACTGCTGCCCAGTGTGTGGCTTGCAGCGAAGCATGAGTTTGCCCAGTGTAAAAGTATAAATTATTTGTTGTCTGCAAAGACATGAAAAGCAGCAGCGTTTCCGAGGCAGCCGCTAAGGCATTACATCAGAGTGCTTTTGAGTCCCAGCTGGGAGCATCTTGAGGCTGGCACATCACGCTGTAGGTCTTGTTGATCATCTGGTTATTCCGGATGAGACATGTCATTTGGGGTGAGCGGTGCGGGGGCAAAGCGGGCTCGGGGGATCGGTAATGGGAACCGGGATGCTATGCACTGGCTGGTGTAATATGATAGCCCTGCCTGGGGTGCTGGCTCAAGGATGTACTCCAGAGCCTCTGGGTATAAAAGCCTGAGCTAAAACAGCCACCTCCTAGCACTGAGGCTGTGTGGCCTGGCTCCTCCATAGCAAACCAGAGGGCTGCACTGAAAAAGCACCGGCTGCCAGTTCTAGCGCAGCCCAGGCCCGCAGTGGTGAAGCTGGGGGGTCGCTACCTCTTCCCACTAGTTGGATCAAGGACACAACAGATCATAGGGACCCGTCTCCCCTTCAGACATATAGGCAATTGTGCTGTCTTGTAGCAGGGGCTCACTGGCCGAATCCAGCACCTGCCACTATTTACACAGATCTCTGTGTACCTGCAGGGCAGTGTGCTTCAAAAGGCCAACAGCAAATCTGCAAGAAAGAAGGTGAATTAAACTATTTTTAGGTCTCCCCAACCTGCTGGATCCTCCTTTGTGGAGGCTCAAACCTAATTCATGCCTCTGAAAAGATTCAAGATTTCTGGCTTCACATTAAAAGTACCCTATGCCCCTTCCTGCCTGGGCTCTGCTGGTTTGGATTTTTCTGTTTCAAATGCATGTAAGATCCGACTGCTAATAAAAATGATTCCTGAGCCAGGTAGGAACAGCATGTGGTGAGGTGTAAAATCAAGCAGCCTAGCACAGCGCAGCCAAGCTCTGTCACAGCATACATGTGTGCTGCCAATGCCAACAGCTAGCAATAAGTGTCCTCAGGGGCATTAACTGAGCTCTCTCAGTCTTCCCCAGTGGGAGGCATGCCTTGATTTTAAATGGTTCCCAACTGGGGCTTTTGGCTTTCAACCACCTCATCTAAGCCATGGCTCATCCAAGTCCCCAGTACACCGCACCTCTACATAGCAGCATTGGGCCTTACCACTCTGCTTAGGAAAGTACTTTTCTTCAGCAACTGGCAAGGGAGGCCTTTCATGATGACAAGCATGCATATCCGTGGCCCGCTGGCCCTCTCACTAAGCTCATGTCATGGTCACAGACAGCAGGGCAATCCCCATGCTCTCTCGCATTAGCTAAAGGAGACTCTCCACCCGGCCGTAGCAAGTGTGTGGAGTACAGCTAAGCCATGGCAGCTCTGCCCAACACAAGGTAATGATATACAGGCAGTCCTCAGACTTACAACACAGTTGGTTCCTGAAAAGCACGTTTTAAGTTGAAATGTAACTCAGAATGATTTTCCCATAGGAAACAATGTTATAAATGGGGGATTGGTTCCTGAACCAAGGCCCGATACCCTATTTTCACCAAAAATAGCCCAGAATTTTGTACTCAATCAATTATAGATGAGTAATATAGCTACATTAATGTATTATATTGTAAATAGCAATCGTATCGATTTGGAAGGACTTTTTTGAGGTGACTTTGCTGGACTTTTTTAAAGACTCTTAGTTGGACTTTTTGAAGGGCTCTTGACTGGAGTCTTTGCAGGAGTCTTGGCTCCAGGTTCTTCTGGAGTTTCGTCTGCTTTCTTAAAGAAAATGTCCAACGAAGAGATAGGCGATGCAGAAAACTTGCTTGCTGGCGTAGCATCGCATCCGATCAAGAGTCGTAAAGGCAAAAATGATGTCAGAAAGTTGAAACAGGGTGTCAATTTATAAATATTGTAAGTGCAAAATGTTGTAACTCGAAACGTTGCAAGTCGAGGACTGCCTATACATGCTTCACAGAGGCAGCCTTAGCTTCAAGTGCCCATTGGGATTTCAACTGCTTGCATCAGCTGGCTGGAGCTAGTTATATAGCACTGGGGATGTGCAGGGGGCCTTATGGGAAAAGGAAGAAGAGACAGCTTTTGTCCTGAGGTGTTCACAGTCTCTATTATACCAATCTGCAACAGCCAGCTGCCTTTTAAGCAGGAAAAAAATCCAGGCTACAGTGCCTTTCAAAGCCTGGACCATTTCTACTGGAGATGCAGTCCACCATGGGGCATTGCATGCCCATTACACTTGACTGGACACCTGATGCCTACGCATCATGGTTTATCTAGTTCCTCACATGCTGGCTATGAAGACTAGCCCAGCCTTTCCTTAGCCCCTTGCTGGTCACTGGCCCTCTTTCTCCTTCCTCACAACAGGCAGTTTCTTTCCTCCTTGCCACACTAAGCTAACAGGAGCACCCCTCAGCGTCCTGCTTATGTTGTGCCACAGTTAGCAAATGGAGAAGCAGAGTAAAGTAGCAAGGGGGTGAAAAGGACAGCTGGGTCACTCAGAAGGGGCCACTCTTTGCCTTGCCAACACACTAGCTGTTCCCCAGGCACTAACCCATGCCTTTGCAGCATGTCTAAAAGGATGGCTGGACACTGGCTTTTGCATTTATCCAATGTTCCTTCAGGGAGCTAAATCATTTTCAGGTAAGCATGTCTTTGCAGGAAGCGATCCCATTCACATGGCTTCTGTATTGGCCGATACTGTCCTCCAAAACAGACGTTCATGTCACTCCCATAGCCAGTTCAGTACAGAGAAGCTGAACGCTGAATTCAGCTTTGAGGCAGCTGACAGCAGCAGTTTTAGCCTCTGGAGCTGGAAAACGTTTGAATGCAACAGGATTGTGAAGTGATAATTTCCTACTGTCAGAAGGAGGCTGAAGAGCCATCTTATTAGAGAAGAATCACACCTGCTAGCGGCTGCCCGGTCTGTTCTTGCATAGGGTCTTTTATTGGAGATTACTCTTGACCACGTACAAGGAAAAATGCATAATTTTATAGTTAAGGGACTGGACTAAGGTTGAGGAGGATTCACTGTGCAGCTTCAGGTTTCTACAACCTCTAGTCCTCTTTGGCAGGGAACACTTTGAGCAGCCTCATCAGCTGATCAAAGTCTCCCAACAGGCAACTCCACCGCTTAGCAGCAAGCCCAGGTGGGAAAGCTGAGAGATGACAACTGCCCTTCCAGAGATGCTTCCATGTGAATGTGGGATCATCAGGTTTTAATATCCATCCATCGTTAACACAGCACTCTCCCTTGAGATCCAGTCCAGTACTGGGCCAAGAGACAGGAAAAAACAAGCAAGCCCCATTCCAAATGGAGTTTGTAGCTCGTTACATAAGAGCCTTAACCTGCCTTTCATCAATCCTGCATTGACACCAAAAACCTCAAGCACATTATTTTCTTAAAAGCTTCAGCTCCAGCATACATGTAATTAAGCGAACATCTCCTCTTCCATTCAAAACAAACATTTCTAGCCTTTCTGATTATACAGGAAA